TTGCAATGTATTGACCAGAATATTCAAAATTTGTGGTTAGAAATGTGGAAGAAAGATCAAGATACGAAAGGAAAATGGTATGGAAGCATACAAGTAGACTTACCTGCAAGACCTTGGTATCATCGAATGCAAGATGCTCCTCGAGACTTTATTACTATCATAAATAGACTGCGTTTTGGTCATAATACTGCACCGTCACACCTTGCTCGACTCGGCATTATTGCGAATAAAACATGTTCTAGTCCTGTGCAGGGCTGCCAGGTGAAAAAAACGCATGATCGTACACCAACTATTAAAAAATCGTACACCAAGGAAATTTTGAAACGAAAAGATCGTACAACAAAAAAGTGGAAAGTTTTTATTTAAAATAAGTAGCTGCCTTTGCCTTGAAGAGTGTTACTTTAAAACTCCATATTCTGAAACTATTTCGACGTCACACACAGTCCACCTGGCTTTAAATTGGTTTTTACCGGGCCCTAACCGGTCCGTAAATAAATCAAATTTTTCCCGATCGGGACGTTACTTCTGTGCTCTGTGTTTGTTCCTCAATGACCTGTGTGAAAAGAAATTAGCCAAAAGAGGAGAGCTTTCTACAGCTCTCCTCTTTTGGCTAATTTCTTTTTTGGAGTACCGGGCGCAGGTCGGTCTTCTTCATGTTCACTACCCATTCTTGCTTAAGCGTATAGCACAAAAACCCCTAAAGACAATATGCAGATCAAAAGAGGATAGTATAATCACTTAGAGCTAGAGACTGATGAGAAAAACAGGTTTTTGACTATTCCAATACAGGTATTTACAAGAGAAAAATAATAAGTTTTGTTACAATGCACACAAATATAGACTTCATATAAAAAAAGGGTCTTTAGACGTAAAAGGTCTAAGCATACGTTAGGTTGTTGGGGAAATCCCCGAACATAATACTTGCCGGTGGAGTATATATTCGTTTCATTACGAAATGTTGCCAGGTACAGAATAATCGTACATTTTATGTACGATCTTGGTCTAGCGATCGTACATGAGTAAAAATGACAAAAAATCGTACAAGTACGATTTAAATCGTACATCTGGCAGCCCTGGTCCTGTGTCGGTTATGAACGACCGAGTCAAAACGACCGAGTCCCAACAATCGCGTGATTGACACAATCGTTCACAGCCGCTATATCCCAATCATATTTGACCGACACGACCGTGCGGTCTCAAAGCGAACGCTATGAAATGGTAGCTCCTCGGTTACTATCGGCTCTCGGTCTTATAGAATATTCGCGATTGACATACACTCGGATAATCTCTGAAGACCGAAACTAGGGTCAAGCTATATTGAACTTTAATACTTAGATGCGAAGGTAATAATTTTCTTTCGTATCTCGATTCAAGGAAAAAATTTTCGTAACACGTAGATATTATGGGCTATTTTAACACGTGGATTTTAACACGCTTTTTGTTTACGGTCAAATTCTAAATGTAAACAATCGCCGTTGTAATTATTTCACTTATGATTTGTGTAAGCATTTAAATTTATAGGGTCAATTATTATTATTTAAAGTTATTAGTTGGAGATTGTGATTATTTACGCTTTGGATATTTAAAAAATAGTAAGTATTGTTTTATATATTCGTAGGGGTGCCGTTTTATTTCTAAATCATAATTTAAAATAGCATAATTTTCTTCGTTTATTGGATTTTAATAAAACATTTTTCATTTTTAAAGTTTTTATACCAGGAATGAGTACCTTGCTTAATCCCTGTAAAATACGAAATTGTTGAACGATGGTCATTTAATGTGCTCTACGCCGGTCGCCGCCTTTTGTTTTGCACTCAACGAACGGTGACCGATCGAATCCTTTAAGTCGGTCACGAGTGTGATCGGTCACGATCGACCCGGGTCGCGAGAAATGAACGACCGACACAGGCCTAACATGTTCACATTGTAATTCAAGTGATGGAACTGTGGAACACATTATCTTCGATTGTCAAAAATTTTTGATCGACAGACTAGTGTTGGCCAGTGAACTTAGTGATGTTGAAAATAAGTGTGATTTATTGTCCCGCCCGCCGCCTTTAAAACAATTGTTACAAGACGAACTTACTTATAAGCACATCTACAATTACATAAAAAATACAATAAAAACAATTTAATGGAATATGCTCATAGGCGTAACATTACGTCTATGAAAATTAAGAGTTGACCTAAAGGTTGTAAATGCCAGGTCATAAAATCCCAAAAAAAAAAAAAAATTGTTCTTTGGCCTACGTCTAAACTGAAAACTCTACCGGCCATATTTGATATTACTAATACGTAATGGCTTCCTCAAAATTTCAAATGTGGTTCTTAAATTTTATTCGTTTTCACATATTAAGTTGTTAACATTTTCCATGTATTTAGCCAATTTAACTGTTGCCTGTTGGTGTCTAGTGTCTACTTAGATACTGAGGTTTTATCAATTTTGTTTCGTATTTTTCGTAGAAAAAATCTACTAACCTATGTAAGGTTAAAACGTTTTATATTGTTGTTGTTAAAGAAAATGATTGAATGTGATGGTTTACATAACTTGCTATTATCCAAGAGTTTTAATTACTATTTGTCTAAAGATGATTTGACAATTTCCGCCATTGTTTGTTGTTTCTCATAATTTACAAAATATAATGTAGGAATTTCGCCCATGTATATTTATTAATTTGCTTTTCAATTGTTCTGTTATCCTCCACTCCAACACTCTAAACTTCTAGCTACATTCTGGATTTAACATCAAAGGGCAAAGAACAGCATATTTTTTGTCTTCTCTTTCAATGTTTAAATATAGCCATTTCAATGTATTTTACTGTGTCAAAGTTGCATACCAAATACTGTTTAATCCATGAAATCAGTCACATAAATAAGTTAGTAAGAAAAAAATAGAGAGGTCATCGTTGAACACCTTTATTGTTAAAACAATCTATCAATAAGAAGTTGGCATCCATTAAGACATACACATACTTTCCATGCATGCCACAATTTAAATAAGTAGCACCAAATTGTCTATATTGTAAAGAGAAATATTGGTCCATTGGCGTGTTTTGCCATTTCATTAACATTTACTTTAAAGATAAATTTCTTTGGTCCATCTTCTTTTTAAAAAGTATAACATCTTTTTGTAACAATTACCTTCACATGTATAAAACATTGAAAAAATACTTTATTTTCTCCTTTCTGCTTGTATTCTTCAATTGATTTCATGTTTTTTTAAAACAAAGACCTGGAATATCATTTTTAAAGTGTCATATATCATTTTTCTCTTGATATAATTCTCTACCATGCCTTTTGTTCTAACAATCAAAAACTATATTTTTCTGTAAAAGCTCATTTAGGTTTGTTTGTGTAAATATTTATTAGTTTAGGTTTAATCATTGGATAGGGACATATTGACCCCATGTTTGCTATTGTGTAGTTCATTTATAATAATATCCGGAATGTTGTATAATTTTGCTGCACTATAGCTCTCTCACACCTTAAATCTCTTTGACACTTTGTCTTATCTTTCATAATAGTACATCTTTCTTCATACATAATCCTCGTTGCTACCAAATTAAGGGTGCAGGAAAAAAACAAGGTGTGTTAATTGCAAGAAAAACGCTTTCTAAAGTTTGAAAGTATAAACATTTGTAATGAGAAAATGAAGCCATTGGCAAAAAATTTTATACAAAATATCTGGGAGAGAACTCATTTACAGTACCATTTTTATAATTTTTGTTGACTATGTAATATATACCTCCCATCCTTTTGGAAACCATGACCTCCCTTTCTTTCTGTATAGGGATCGTACACCTCTTGATAAATTTTTCAGAAAGGATCTTCAACCATTATGTCTAATGATTTCTCCCGGACCAATTTTAAGTTCAAAAGTACTTGGTTTTGTTCTTGAAGATTTAAGCAGCTCATACCAATGAAATGGCAGCTCAATTCTTGTTTTAAGGTTAACTTTTCCCATGTTCTAGATAGCTGTGTCCTCTAATGTGAAATGATAATTAAATTTGGACCATGGATGATGAAATGCATGAACCTCAAAACTTTTAATTTTTATTTTGCCCTTCGCAGGAATCACAAAATATTACAAGGTGTCTCACAGATATTTTCATATGATTTGTAATAAAATCAAATAAAAAGGAAACAAATTCTTCACCCTTTCTTTCGTCATGTTTCCAGACAACAATAGAAGTTAGATTGTTCAGTTCCCAAGTTGATGTTTAATAAAAACATTGATAACTGCCTCTTGTAATAAACATTGTTAGTTGTAAAATTCGGAAGAGAAATGTTTTTTTGGATGTCCATAGCTTTAGCATGAAGATCATTTTTTTATTGTTTTCTAGATGTCTGTCATAAAAGACTTCAGCTTTTGTCTGATGAATACTTTGATTAAACTTGTTATTTGTCTTAATTCAACCAGTCTTTCTTGTTCGAGCACTTTGGCTTGGGCTAAATAAGCATAGCAGGTACTGCATGTATCCATTCTTCAATAACAACGTGGTCTTTGTTGTCTGTTAAAAACTTGTGCATCTTCTTTATTGACAACTCATCTAGTAAGTAAATTTTTCGAGTATTCTTTAACACGTTCCCAATCTAGTGTCCGTGTACCATATCTGGTAGAGGAACTGCAGCGTATTTAGAGTACTAGTTCGTTTTTTGCGAATAAATTTAGGGATACACGGGATAGCTCAATAAAATATACATTTAATTGTTGGAAATTTATTAAACTATAATAATAAAAATAATCAAATACAACGAAAACAAAAAACATAATCAGAACGCCTATCAAACTAAAAAACTGAAAAAACCCAGTTTGACATAGGGTGCAGATAATTTGGAATACTATATTCCAAATTATATTAACATTTATTCTTAGAAAATAATAGTAACATATTATCTTTGTAATAGTTTTATACTCTTTAGGTATTAAGTAATCAGTCATAATAATCACATATTTAGTTTAAACTTACAGTTTACTAAACTTAGTTAACTACTAAATCTCAGTATTCACAAATGTACACACCGGATTCATAACCACTACAAGCACCGTGAACCAACAATTCGCACATGAAGCACTGTACTTCACCCCGTTTATCCTCGCTATATTTTCCATTAGAGAAAAAACACTCGGCGTCTTCGTCAGTAGGGATCGCAGTCTCATTTCTAGTTGCTATATCAGTCAGTGTTATTTCTAGATGTAGCCCTAGAAATTGGATCTGATGAGTCACTGTCTGTCATATTTATTTTCTTGGTTTTCTTCTTGCCTTTTCCCTTATTATTTTTCTTTGTTTTGTTTTCTTTATTAGACTTTTTGAGTTGTGCATTCTTAAGCTCTTTTTTATAAGACTTGAGAATGCACAATTGCTGATCTTGCTGGCTTACGGCGTCTATTGTTAGTTGTCTTTTTTGATGTTGGCACTGGAGAAATATGAGAGGGAGTAACAAGGGAGTGAAAATCTATGCTAACAGATGGCACAGGTGCTGGGTCAACATAATTCTCTAATTGCAAAGAAGCAATAGTGGGGCAGTGGGGTGTAGTTGTAAAATCAGCAGCAGCAGCCATGTAATCGGCTTGAGTAAATATATTTCGATTAAATGGAAATATGCCACCTTTGAAACCATTAGCAGCGATTTTGGCTTTGGCGATGTAGGCTTACCGAAATAACTCAACGACATCGTACTGTGTTAAGGGCCTATTATTTTCTATGTGAAACACCCGAATTTCCTCACTGTAGTACGATTTTAAGGGTCCCATGAAAGTACGGTACTGTTTTGCTAGATCTATTAACTCTATGTTCTTGGTGTGACTGTAATGGCCATCGAGAATCAAGAGCACTGGGGACGCTTCTGTTGGTTTCACGTATTCTATGAAGTGTTGAAACCATTCTGTAAAGAGATGTGTTTGAATCAATCCCGATGGATGTACTTTTCCTATAGAACCCACTGAAACTCCTCTCATTCGAAAGCATTCGACATATGTTTACATAGGAAAATTATCAATATTCTTGCTGGGCTTATACAAATAACAATAGTTATTAAGGACCCCCTCTCGGCGGACGTCATTGCTCCAATTTGTTTCTTTCCTTTTCGCGCTATAATTTTTTTCCAAGGTATCTTGAATAAAGGTACTATTATCTATCTGCTCAAAAGGAGCAGATTGGTTAGCCAAACATTTGGCTTCGTTCAAAATACAATATGATAGCGAATTTGCTACTTGTCCAATATAATAATTACAAAGATAATAGTTATCTTTAGTCAAAAAGTAATTATAACTAATGATGACATTAGTGTCAATCAATTCAAATCGTTTATTATACAGTGTCATTGTATGAATTTTATTATTGCATCTGTACCTAGCATTGTTTTCGGTCTGTGACATACCTTTTCCATAAGGAAAAGCAAATAAGACAACTTTATTTACATTAAGTTTTGATAACTTTTCAAAATAACTGATTAACATATTTACTGTTACATTACCTCTTCTCCCAATTAAAAGTACAATAGTTGTGGATGGGCAATAACTTTTACTTACTATTTCATCTAATATTTGTTTATAGGAAGCTCCAGGCATACAACAATTTATGACCTGAGTCGAGAGTCGAAAATAAATATTTTCGACCTTTATAAACAAAATGTGATTTTAAATTAGGTCCGAAAGAAAAATCTGCACCTAAGCTGGGCTATGTTCATATTTGATGCAATGCCATCAAATGTAATGGAAATTACCTCACATCCCGTAAGATGTAATAAATCCAGACATATTTTTAAAGGATTTGCTTTTTGGGATGCCGTGAATCCTCTGCCCGGAAAGTAGCCTACTGGAATTTTCCAAAACGAATTCAGTGCCACAACCATAAAAACTAAAACCTGGTTCGCAATTGCAGCACCATCCATAGCTAAGTCATTACCTAAATTGACGAATCCATAATGTCTCTGGCCTACCCATTCTGTGTGTTCACGAATACTCATTTCATCGAAAGTAAGACATAATTTTAGATCAGGCTTCCTTTCTTTCATGTTTTTAATAGTGATTAGAGATTCTTGAGTAAATCCAGGTTCACAGTCCAATCTGGCGTACCAGGTACGCAATGTGTTAACATGTGGAAGACACAAATCAAATTTTTCACGCAAATAATAATATGCCCTTGGACTATAAAAGTGTATAGTGATAGCAAACTTTCGTAATTCTTCGCTGTATTTACACGAAGACTGCACTTTACCACATTTTTTGTCATTAACCCGGTTAATTAAATTCTGTATTAATTCATTACTGCATGCCATAGTAACATCACTGTAGTGATCTTTCAATCCCGGTCTTGAATGAATTTCATGTAGAACGTCTTTCAGGGTGACTATTTTTAGAGCCTGTCTTTTATTTTTTGCTGCTAATCTACGTATTTTTTTTGTTTTTCTTGTAGCTTTTGTTTCAGTTTGTCGTTTTTGCTAATAAGCTTTTTTGTTCTTGGTGTGAGCTGAACACTTTTTTCTGGAGCTTGTGATATCGAAGGTAGAGCTATGTCCCGATTGATATACGATGACGGGATTCTCTCTTTTATATGTCCCTGAAAATGTGAAGAAAAAAATACATCATTATTTAATAAAAAAATAAACTTCATAAAATTTGAATAAAAAGGTATTGGATGAAAATCTGGTATTTTTTACAATTATTTTAAAATTAACCAGGCGATCAACGCCAACAAACCGGCAACGCGTTTGGCGCAATAGGCCCTAAAATTTCACCAATTCTAGCGTATATCAATGTTTTTATAGGTGTTATTGATATTCGTAAAATAGCAATATGCTTACTGGTACAAATAAAGTTGGAATGGCTCCTTTAACTAAAACTGTATTTATTCGTCTTTTTCTTTTATATTCGTCCGGGAAATGTTTGCTGCAAATGGTAGAGTTCTTCTTTGGATTCCAACCAACGCGCCCAATTAATCTCAACCATTTTCCTCTTAGTATAGTATCTAGAGGGAATCTGTTGGACATTTAATACAAAATTGGGCAAAATGGTTCAGATACGAGACGGTAAACGTAAGCAAGCATTTATTTTCATAAGTAACATTCAAGATAAAATATCGATAATTCTATCGATTAATTTGAGTCAATCCCTAGCGTACATGTAAAATTAATTGATGAAATATTTATCCACTAACATCATGTAAATTATCAACAAATGGACTTCCACATATACAAAATATGAAAGTAAACAAAAGCATTGGCATTATTTTATATAGGATAAAAGACAAATTTTAACCAAAAATAAACGCGTCATGCCAGTGATGACGATTTGGGTATTTACCTGTGAAATGTGCAATTTTCAGGATTATTTCTATTATTAACACCACAATCACTCACAGAACATGTAACCATTGTTGAATACAATTAGATTTACTGAAAATAAACCACGATGTACGCAAAAAATCCAAAATACTAAGGGGTTGTTTCTCCGCGTGCCGACTTGTGATGACCTGTCATTCAAAACCAGTCACAGTTTCATTGGATTCGCTATCCTTTTCTATCTTGCCAAATTTCCGTAAAGGATTTTCTTCTCCCTCGCTCGCTTTGTTGGTCTATACGCCAGTATATACTAAGTCTATGGTTCGAACCCATCTCGTCCTATTCCATTCGCGATTTCGGCTATGTTTGCAGTCAAAATTTGAACTTGCACAGATTCTTCGTCATTTTCCGCAGTCAGAGCAGGCCACAGTTTTTTCCAGCATGACTTCAATGTGTGTGGCTTCAGTTCTTCCGATGATTCTTTTATGTTTGCGATGCATTTTGCTATGTCAAATTTCTTCCAGCAATCCATAACATTCATATCAGAATTACATTCCATATTATCCAATATGATTTTGAAGGTTCGTCTAATGTAATAGAGCTTAAAGGCCTGGATTATTCCTTGGTCCATAGGTTGAAGCAAAGCCGTCGTGTTGGGTGGTAAAAATGTCACTTTTATATTTGGATGCATAGTTTCAAGTTCGCGAGGATGACCTGGTGCATTGTCCAAAACTAGAAGCGCTTTAAAGTCTAAATTCTGTTTTTTTAAATAAGTTTCAACTTCAGAAACAAAACAATTCCGGAACCAGTCACAAAAAATAGCGCTTGTAACCCACGCTTTCTTATTAGCACGCCAAAATACTGGCAGGTTGTCCTTGTTTTCATTTTTTAAAGCACGAGGATTAAACGATCTGTAAAGCATCAGTGGCTTAATGAGACAATCTCCAGATGCATTAGAACATAGCAGCAGTGTAACTCTATCCTTTGCTGCCTTAAATCCAGGAGCGGACTTTTCGCTTTTAGAAATGAATGTTTTGTTTGGCATTCTCTTCCAAAACATTGCAGTTTCGTCTGCATTAAATACTTGCTCAGGTTTGTACCCTCCATCAGCTACTAGGTTTGCAAATTCTTCTGGATATCGTCCTGCTGCAACAATGTCTGCAGATGCTGCTTCTCCAACGATTTTGATGTTATGCAATGATTGTCTCACCATAAATTTATTAAACCAACCTTCCGATGCTTGAAATCCTCCATCTGTACGTTCACCACTAAAACTACCATCAGGTTCTTTAAAATGACCGTAAAGACGCTTTGCCTTCTCCCGGACCATTGGACCACTCAGGGGCACCCTTTTTTGGTTGCGGTCTTCGATCCATAATGACAACGCCACTTCCATTTTTTCTATTGTTGGATCACGGACAATTTTAGCTGACAGTGAAGTTGAAGCTACAGACGACCTTATTTTATCTTCGGATTTTTTTATTGATCGTACAGTTGATTCGTTGACATTGAATGAGCGTGATATGGATGCAAATGACTCTCCAAGGCGTAAACGATCAAGCATTTCTATTTTCACTTTAAGCGGTAACACAGATTTTTTTCGTGTCGAAACTCGTTTCTCATTTTTTTTAGTTGACATTATAAACTAGAAAGAGTGCAGTAGAGACGTGTTACTCGATCACAATTTTTGTACCGAATGTGAAAGACGAAACAATAAAACACGCAAAGCGGCTTTTACTATAAACGGAACAACAACATTTAAAAATATACTTTATTTATTGGTTAAATTATTGGTATTGGGTATAAGGTTGCTTTTATTCTGTTTGTTTACATTCTTAAAAACACTGATCGCGGCGAAGGCGGCTTTTGTCAAAAGCCTCGGCGTCCGGCGATATCATTTATCAACATACTTTAGGCAAAGTTGTAATAAGATCTATTTTACTTTTTTATTAGTCCATTTGACAAGGATATTGGGTTGAATACCTATTGAAATAATTTTATTATTATGTATGTACTTATTAGATCCGCGAATAAAAAAATTTTTTGTCGCGAATATAGGAATTGGGTCGCATTTTTTTTTCCCGCGGATAGTGAAAACGCGAATAAAGGAAGCGCGAATAAGGAGCTTTTAATGTATTGTAAAACATTAAATTTTATTTCAATAAGAACTATTTGTACCTGATAATAACGAATTAAGAACTTCAGACTCTTCGTAGTTATGCACTTGGCCATGATGGTTTTCTTTATTTTTAATAAGTATAATCCTGTAAAATAAATTTGATTACAGATCCGAATTTAAAATTAAATTGTATTCATATTTTAAATGTGGAATATAAAAAAAAAGTAATTATTTATACCTTCATCCATACTTAGGGGAAGATTGTTACCCTTCGTACGCGGGGCACATTCATACAGTCGAAATAAAACTTGAACGAAACAAAGTACAGTCTTGTTTTTGTATGTGTGCATGAGTCGAGGTACGAACTATACATAATCGAAGTTTCGCGAAATTCGCACCGATGAGAATGAAGTTACAGGCATGGACGTGTTTTCGCGCTCGGTAAGTAATTTTTTGATCAATGTTTTTGTCTCTTGTTACCGTAGATAAAATAAGTTTTCGTGTAGAGTATTCTATCAGTAACTAGCAAAATATACTTAGATACGTCTCCAATACTTAATTTATGACGTTTTCCTATTAATATTAAAATAAGTTATATTTTGTTGTTATTCAGTTAGTGGGGTACTTTCGGACAGCACTAGATGGGGCACATTTGAACGAATTGTACAACTAAATTTGTGTGAAAATATTTTGTCGACACGAACTGTCGTTTTCATACAAATTAAGTTTTCGACTTGCTACATACAAATAATAATAAGGCATCTTGACTAAACCCTCTGGTAGGTAGGAAAGATTGTGTTAGTGTGCTAATTGCTCTAATATTTGCATTAACTTTGTCCTGTGTTGCTATCATTGCTATCGTCGATGTATATTAATACCTATTTTTATTATCTTTATTAAGGTTGATTTTGATGCCTGTGAACCAGATGCTTTGAATAATTTACCAATCCATCAAATAGTAGTTCCTTCGAAGTCAGTTTTGACACCTTAAGGGTTTCGACTCTATACGCATGTTGTAAGAAGTAATAAAACAAACAAAATGACGACGGCCAGGAAAACCACGAATTTATACTGCCACACCCGAAAATAAGAAGTGCTAATCCGCACCAAAGATTAAAGAATGTGATTCTAAATTTAAGATACCTAACTAATTAAATTTTGGTTTTCTTAAGAAAAGCTATGTAATTTTTGTTCACTATAATTAAAGTATTTTATTTTTGTTTATTAGAAGTTAAATCTTTATTTTTGTGTTTAATTTCATTGCTAATAAATGAATTTTGATTTATATGTGTCGTTTTAATCGCACGTACGGAACTACCCCACAGCGTACGAAGGTACCCTCAACACTGTACGAAGGTGCCCCGTTGATGGGGTAGATTCGTACGTTTTCCAGATTTAGTTTAAATCATAATTATGGTTGAACCATCAGATGAAATCATTTGTCATTTTCTTATATGAATCTCAGATAGTTAGACTATAAATTTAAGCTTGCAGATGATTGATTCATGGAAAAATAAAATAATAAAAAAATAAAATGTGAAAACCGTACGAAGGGTCCCGACCTTCCCCTATATTTATTTTTTTAGCAGTTTGATATACTACGACGAAATATTTACTAACGATAATTTCGATCAATGCCAACTTAAAGAAAAAACACTAGTTAATTTTCTGTCACTGTGTTGGTATTGATTGCGAGCGTCACGCGAAGACGACTCATTGGTCTAGAGGTTAGTACCCCTGACTGCGAATCCATGGGTCCCGGGTTCGATCCCCGGCTGAGACGAACATCGATGTGATGAGCATTTGGTGTTGTGCTTAGGTCTTGGGTGTTTAAATATGTATTTATATGTCTATCCATCTATGTATGTATATCCGTTGCCTAGTACCCATAACACAAGCTTCACCAGCTTAGCATGGGACTCGGGCAATTGGTGTGAATTGTCTTAAAAAAAAAAGAAAAAAGAGCATTACTTTTGAGAGTGCTCAATTGTGCGAAGCGTTGCTGTAGTTGGAACATTTAACGTTGAGCATTATGCCGCATAATGCGCTCTAGTGCTGTGATTGGGAAACGCAAATAAAATAGAATATAGACAAGAACTTGTATAGGAAAATATATTATGTTTTCCTTACATATATAAGGTATATTATTGAGGATTGTCAAAATAAACCACAAATTGTTTCTCTGAAAGTACAGTTTTGTTTTATATATTTCAACAATTATTGTTTAAGTCTGACAATTATTCCTAAATCTCACCTGAAAATACAAAGAAACGACAATCAAATTTATTAATTAAATCACCGAATTCCGCTAGAAATTGTTCACTCATAGCTGGTGACCCATAGGACGTATTTGATGCAGGTGGTTCAGGGCTTTGCTGTGGCATCGATGAGGCTCTACATGTTGTTGGTCGTGTAGAGTATCCTTGTGAAGTATTGTAATTATTCATGCCAATATAGTCATATTCTCCGCCATCAGCACTAAACAATATATTTGATATGTACTGCACATGTTTTTTGTTGTCTTTGAATAAGATCTTAATTTATTTGCCAAAAAAATACCATAGGCTTCACATTCGTCAAGTTTGTGCGAAGTTGACTCCGTTTGCTCGGTTTTCTTTTTAAAATATTGAAAGTAGATGCCATTATTTCTTCCGGGCTTGGGGCTACTTTCTTCCTTTTTGGAGGCCGTAATCATTGTCGCTATTTTTGGCAGGCGGATGGCCATCATTGTCATTGCAATCATCATGCGGTTGTTCTAAAGCACCTTCACGTAGCTGAAAATAAATATGAATCATTATTTCAGATGCCAGAAACACCGGAGCAATGGCTGGTTGTAGAAAATGGTTATGATACTTTGTGGACCATATGTTTCCACATTGCGTAGGTGCAATCGACGGTACACATATATTACTGAAGGCACCGATCAACAGTGGAAGTGAATTTTATAATTACAAGGGTTTCTTCAGTATCCTATTACTGGCAGTTGTTGACGCGAAGTATATCTTTTTGTATGTACACATTGGATGTCGAGGAAGAATATCTGATAGAGGGGTTTCTAAAAAAAAATTAACAGCGTTGAAAAACTAAAACCACTGCGCTGCCAGGAAAAACAGAAGAAATTCCATTTTACTTTGTTGGCGACGAAGCTTTTGCTCCTCCTGTAGCTTGAAGGAGACAGTTGCGTTTGGGATTGCGACCATGAGCTTTGGGGGTAATATTTAGGCTGAATTGTGTTGTCGAGTATAGATATTACAACGTTACAAACAATAAATTTATAATATAAACTATTGTTTATCTAGAGCACGCCGTTATATCGAGTGCACATTTGGTATTTTATCTAATAGAGGATGTACCACAGGCCACTGAATGTAAATATAGATTTAGCAAAGAGGATTGTTAAGACATGTTGGATTTTGCATAATTTTGTACGTTCTATAGATGGCTATTCATACGAGGATACTTTGACAGTAACGGGTTTCCAACCTGCTACAGATTAGGATTGTAATAGAGGAGGGAGAACAGCATTAACAGTTCGACACAAACTTTCATACTATTTTGTAAATCCCGCTACCATGGTAAGATAGAAATATATTATAAGTTTAACAAAATATTAATAAAATATTGCATTTTCGTACGTTATTGGTTTTGTCCTTCATTTGTCGTATCTTCTTTTTCTTTAAAACCCCAACATTTAATTTTCAAGTTGCGGTCAGAGTACTCTTACAATGCGTTGTTCCATAAATACGGCCGATTTTACAATTTCTCTGATAAATCTCTCAGTCTACATTTTGCTCTCAATACCACGTACATTCAACGCGGCAACTAAATGGCGACTAAGTAAGTGACGGTGCATAGTCAGTGTTGCCAACTCGATTAAAGCAAATGTCGCTAGACCGAAGATTAAAAAGTCGCTAGAAGTCGCTAGATGATGAAAGTTTGTTTGGTATGAAGAAAAACCTAAAAAAATTAGGTATCCCGATAGGTATCTCGTTAGGTAAAGATAGGACGATGACTTTCAGGGACTACATTTTTAATAAAGTCAAACATTATATTATTGATAATACATATAAACATTTTATGTAATTAAAAAAATCTGCAATAAGTAAAGAACTTTAATAAGAAAACCCTATACTAAGCTAATTATTGGTCTCTAAAAAGCACATAAACTATAAATTACTGTTTCGTCTTCATCCGCGTCGTCGTCATAATTATAAATTATAGATGGTATCATGGTACTATCAAGATGTTGCCCGGATGTTGAGGGTTGTGGATCACTG